TTTTCTCTCCTCTGCTTTTGTCCTTTTGTTCACCTGGAAATGATCCGAGTCCTCCTCRTGCTCACGGTTTTCATTCAGGTCAGAACATAAACACAGAGAATCAGGAGCTCAAACGTGGTTTCACCTGAAAACAACAAAACAAACGAGCCGGAGGAAGGTCAAACCTCTGACGACCTTTTAACCCAAAGATATTTAAATTTAATATTCCATTTGTGTGGTAGTTTCACTGACCTCCGTTTCTGCTCGTGGTCACTGTGTTCCATTTTTATTCTAGAATTTGTTTACATAAAAGATATTTGTTGCTGCTTAGTTCACTTATGAAACCACACCCTCAGGAATGTAGAGCAGAAGGAAAGCTCGATTATCTGCAGCAGCCATCTTGAATCAAGTGGATTCCAAAAGGTCATATAGTAAAAGTACATTCAGTATTATTTTCTTATTAAAGTACAACTTTGGAGCTAAAACAAGAACTTCCTGTTTACACTTATATATGGTAAGTTAACACACGGGTCAGGTGTTTTTGATTGTGGTTTTGTGTGAAGTAGATTTTTTTTCTTTGAATCATGTGAAAAACATGTTTTCTATAAGGGTTAAAAATGTTAACACTTATAACTACTTTATTTAGCCTCAATAAATGGTTAGTTAACCATAAACATTAGGGACAATTAATACATAAGCTATAAATGAACAATGATTTACCCATAAAGGCCGTTTACTTCCAAAACCAACATATTCCTTGTTTATTCATACTTAATAATTCAGTATGAATAAACATATTTCATAAATTAATTGTTCTATATAGTGCATGTGTATGTATTTATATACACACACGCTTTCACGCCATGTGTTGAATATTTTAATGGTGACAAAGCTGACCCACCAGCAGTTACACTGGTTGTAATCTACTGGTGTTCTGAGAAGAAACGCTGTATTTCCATTTACCATCATAAAAACTATTAAACATGATTAAACATGAAATACAAGTAACTACAAGAGGCATTTAGATTTGATTTAAGCACACATTAAGACTTACACACTTTATAAAACCACAAATACGCTATTTTAACTAATTAATTAAAAAAATTTATGAAATGTCCCATGAGCYTTTGCTGACCGAGCACACGGAAAACTTTCAAGCACACAGGCTTAAAAAAATGGGCCACAACACTGGCTGCCTGCTTAATCATAAAGTATTTGTATTTAATTTTATTTCTTGTGTTTCTGCACAGAACCTCTGGGTTTGAGAAGGTTGGAATCGACGGGTTTCAGTTGGATTTCCACAGATGAAAAGGAATAAAAAACAAAAATAGTCTTCACTTTAGCAGGTTTCACAAAAAGACTCAACAGCTTTAATTACTGATGCACTGCAGGATTAGTAGAGTCAGTTCAAATGTTCTCGAACCATTAATACACGTCTAACATGACCAATATATACACAGTATATAGAATAGTTCATGAGTTATTAAGCATGAATAAACAATGAATACGGTGGTTTTGGAAGTAATTAGCATTTTGTGGGTAAATCATTAATAAAAGTGTTAATTAATAGGTTATTAAATATGAATCCTCTTTAATTGTTCTCAGCTACTCAAGGTGTAGTTCCCAAATTATATATATTTTTGTTGCATTACAAAATGCATAAAAAGTAAAACAAAAAAAAGCCCTTTATCTACCAGAAATCCATTCAAAAGAGGGGAGAAATCTTGTTTATATCATTGCTAGTTTTTAAGATAAGCATTATGTTCACATGCTCTTTTAAACTCAACTTCTAATGCAGACGTTTCACCAGTTAAAAGCACAAGAYTGTAAAATGAACAGATCCTCTGACGCTGCACAGTTCAGAGCTCCATATAAAACTCAGGCAGCTGAATAGAACAAGTTGAGACTTGGACTCAGACTGAACAAAACAGTTTGCCCAAAGTAGGAACGTACCAGCTGGAGCTGATGTAAAAGCAAACAAAACAAAACAAAACAAAAAAAAGGCACAGCTAAACTAATTGACGTTTTTAACAGGAGGAGAATCTGGTTCATCAGCAGGATTAAACATCAGTTAAACGTTGGGAGGAAAAGCGACTGAGGTGYAGCCGTTTCACAGGAAGTGTGCTGACTTTGCATTCCACAGCAGCTTGTGGGTTTTTTTTGCCCCTCTCCTTGAACGAAACCAATTTGCCTCATTTGTCCACTTGCTTATTTTGCATGTTGTCAGCTGTTGTTTCACCCCCCCACCCACCCCCTCTGAGGGGCACGCCATGTGGAATCAGAACTTGCTGAATTTGGAATGTACAAAACCCTGATGTCTTTAACACTCCACACGCAGGCACATGTTACAAACAGGTCGCTTTTTTTATTTTTATTGGAATACATATGGTCTGCTGTACAGTTTTTAAAGAGGCCGAAGGCACAGTGCACCAGCCGCAGTAAGGTTAGAACATGCACGTTGGATTAAGCCTAACATTTTAAGAGAGAAAAAAAATAATAAAAAAATAAGTCTCCTTACTCAGTCCACCTGGCTTCACTGACACACAGCGAGACATTCAACCACCATACAAATCGTTTTTTTTGTGTTTGACACATCTGAACTGTTTATATCAGAAACTGAACAAAAAGATGATAGGAGTGATTATATCCAGCCAAAAAAATAGTCTTTTCATTTAGATTATTTGTGTTGTACATATTTACATAAGTGTGTGTGTGTGTGGTGGGGGGCTGCATGCGTCTTTCTTTGGCAAACATACAAAACAAACCCTGAATTTATGAGAGCAGCAACAAGGCTAAAGAGAATAAACTCCCTTTTTTAAAAAAGAAAAAAAAACGGGACACGTGGTGAATCAATCAACTCCGATAAAACACAAATAACTCTCTGATCCGAGGTGCRTCGTCACTTCCAGGCTCTGAGAAATGTCTCAAATGAAAAAAAAAAAAACAAGAAGAACTCTCCAGGAGTGTAACAGCAATGATAAACATACAGAACCCTGCAAAGAAACAAACGAAAGCAATATRCGAATCTTAAAATCAAGGCGGACAAATATTTAATACAACAACAAAGGCCCACTTTACAAAATTACAAGATTTTACTTAAATAAAATCTATCCCATATAGATTCCAAAATAAGACATCTTTTGTTCAACAAAGAAATAAAAACATGAGCAAAAAAAAAATCAAAAATAAAAATACAAGCTAACCCCTCGAAATGCTCAAAGTGAACATTTCCCCTTTATTTCAGCATCTTAAAGAGACGAGATAAACCGTCTCTGACTGTAAACTGGAAAATACTGTGGAATGATTTTGGCACAATGTTAGAAAGGCGGAAACATGGACTTAACACGGCGTCGAAACGTAAAATACRTGATTACAGTTTTTAACATCCATCAAAATACTCTGCAGGTGGAGGGGAAAGAAAGAAAAAGAAAAAAACACTCACTTTAATATAACCGTAAAGAGAGGGTGTTTATCATGTGAGGTCTTAAAGTTAAGTGCTGGTTAATATATGACATCATGATCTAAGCGTTACAATTACTTAATTTATTTCTTTTCTCTCTTCCTGGTCTAAGTAGCTTTCTGCGATGTCGTGTAAAACAAGCCAGTTCTGAAACAGCTGCTCTGAGGCTGGTTGTGGATGTGCAGCTGGGTTAAAAGCAGCCGTTAGCGTACGTGTGGGCCTTGTAAGGAAGAAAAGGCACTGGGTGTAGAACAGGATGGAGTTCCAACTTCAAAAAAAATAAAAATAAAAAAAATAACGCCCTGCTTCCAGGAGGGGATTCCCCCCCGAGCCATAAAACCTGTCGTTTCCGACAGGTGGGACTCCTGAGACCCCCACAACTCTGTTCGTGGAGAAAAGAAAGTTATGAGGCAGAGGGCTGGAAGGGAGGCGGGAGGAACATCAAACAACTTTCTGCACGGTCAAGTGTCAGGTTAGATGGAGGGAAGTGGCTGATTTGGAAGGTGCAGTTTGCGTCACTGTGTTGCTTCATCTCGCTGCCCTGAGTGACGTCAAACTGGCCTCTCGTCCACGCCCGAGAACTCCTTCCTGACACGGTGACAACACCGCACACCAGGTCCACGTGAGTCTCTGGCAGGCCCGAGCCGAACACTCGATACTCCCGTGTTTTATTTAAACACGAAGCAGACGCTCGTCCCTCTTCCTCCTGTTTTTAGAAGCCCCGAGTCAAGCTGTAGAGGACAGGATTAGACGCAGCCCTGACCTCTGAACTTACACCCACCCGGGGAGCTGCCCATCAAGGTCTGGTGACAGGCCTCTGGCCCACGATAAAACCACTCTCTGGCCCAACGTCGCTTGTTTCGTCTGAGACCGGAGAGCAGAGTAACCCAAAGAGACGGACAGAGAAAAGAAAAAAAAAACAGCTGTGGCTCCGAAAGAAACTAAAAGCAAATTTGGAACTGGTTTAAAAGGAGAGGTTGGACAATAGATGACATTTCCTCTCGGTACACAAAAAAAGCGGCATTACAGACAATAAGAGAGCTCTTATTAGTACGTCTGGTGTGTTTATGCTTGCTTACAAAGCCAGCAGAGGCCACGTCCTCTCTGCACTCTGTGACCGACAGTCACATCCAAATCCACAAGGCAGGGTTATTTAGAAAAGTTGTATCGTAAAAAATAATCTCAGAGAATTTTGTTTTGAAATCCTCGTAGGAGCCGTTCACCTCATAACAAAATTGATTTTTTTATGATGCTCCAAATGGGAAAAGCAGAACAAACCAAAACTCATAAATGGGTACTGTATTGGGTATCAACTGTTAGAAAAATAGCGCAAGTCTGTCGAGACAATCCTCTTCTATTGCATCTCAAGGCACGGATGAACATAAGGTTGCAGCTTTACAACTGAAATAAACATTAGCAGAAAAGTGCGTCCACGTTTCAGTTCCGTCCAAACATTCTTGTTGTGCATCTGAACACAGCTGCACACATTTGAGTGGATCCGATCTCCGGTTTGCAGAAACAGTAAAGTGACAAAAACGGCAGCAGGTTGAGCTCTGACCACCGGGCAGAACTCACAAACACACGGGGTAAACTGAGAAATACGTCGGCTGGTAGAAAACAGACAAAGCGAGGATCTCTGACCRTCCAATCAGACCGCAGGGAGGATTAAGACTGAATCAGAAGCAGAGGCAAAGTCGTTCATTTGAACTGAGCAGTTCAAGAGGCCAAAGATGCAGCTGCGTTCACTTAATTCATCAAGCATTGAATCCTTTGTAGATGCAATTTTTAAAAACAGTCAGATCTTTTTTTTTTGCTCAGGTATAAAAGGTTTTCTGATAAGACTTTTCTGATGTGGGAAAAGTCTGAAAGCTTTGAGCAAAGTTCTTGTGATAGACATGCAWCTTCCCACCACCTACTACTGGCCTCTGCTCACGAGGAGCTAAAGTCAGACTCTTTTAAAGGAAAGTAAAAAATGATGCAAAAAGATCGGGGGGATTTGCTCAGCAAATCCGGTCACAAACGATCTGGACTTTTTCGTTGCAATCTGGATACTTACGGACATGTTTTCTTTCTATTTTTTTTAACTACATAGCATTTATGTTAGCAATGACGAAAACAACAATCCACCCTGTCCAGTCAGGTTTGCACGTAATCTAATCCTCAGTTAAATGCAYCAACTATATGAATATGGCTCTTTCAGAATATATGAACGAAGACAATCTAGACGGTGGTAAAAGACAAAAAAACAAAAAAGCACCTCGARAATTGTCTCATGATTTTATGTCAAAAAACAACYTCCTCCTATACCCTGTCCCGCTTCTTCCACCATGTGCATTTTATTGTGTGCAATTTGCTGGGTTTTTTTTTCCACTTGACATGACTGAGAAGAAAAAGGAAAAGGAGGATGCAGAACAGGAAGCGAGTTACAGAGAATCACAACAAAAAGCAAGTAAAGGTCCCAGTTTGTCACATATTGTGTGCTCGTAACATGCAGACTTTTTTCTAAAAATTAGTGTGTTTCAAGCACTTTTCATATATTAGTTAAAAACATGCAAAAAGCATGTCGCAGCTCTAATGGAGCTCACTTTTGAAGGTCACAACATGCCAGATAGTAGGAGCATGGGTTGTTTGTATTTATGCGAACAGAGAAACGTGAGCCATCTTTTGAACTATTATGTTAAATGGTAATATTAAGAGTTAAGAAAAAATTAAATTAAAAAAAGGGTAATTCGCTTCCTGTTTTTGGTCACATTTAAAATAAAAAGATGTTTGGTACTACATGATGACCCAGCCTTGTGAAGCAGAGATGAATGACACAAACTGCACCGCTGCTGACTGAAGAAAGAGACTTTCCTCTTTCAGTGATGAGGAAATGTGAAGATCCTGAAGCAAATGCTCCAAAATTCACCCCCACTTAGGTTATCGTAATGTTTCTGTGGAAAAAACTGAACAAAAAAAAAAAAATCATTCTAACCCTCATTAGTCCTCTGTTCATGAACTCTTTAAAACCTCTCTGGCATGCAGGAAAATCCTCAGGCCTCCCCAGCAAGTCAGCCTCTCCCTTGTCAGGTTTGGGGGGTTACATTATGATACATCCAACAGGAAGCAGAAGAGGAAACCTCCGACTGAGGCTGCAGAGGCTTGGGGCTCTTCAGAGTCACATTCGGGGTCGAGTCTGTGGTCTCAACTTTTACTTGATTTGCTTTATTTGTAGGACAAAGCTGCAGATGGTGGTTTTCTATTGTAGCCTTTAGTTGATGGAAGACGAGTGTTTGGCCCTGCTTGAGATGTTGAGTTGAACAGAGTGCTGTGGAGAAGAAAAAAAAATTCATATAAAAACATTGATTCATCTTTCGAAGCAGTCTATAATTGCTTTATTTTTGCTTGAAGGAAAAGCGTAATTTGCTGCGAATTATGGGGAAAATAACTTGAGTGAACTGTTTCCAGTAMTATTCATTGCAAATGAGTTCCACAAAAAATATGGAAATTCTTTTAGTCGGTGTACAGCCCGTTAGATCAGCAGTCCCAAACCTTTTTTGCAATGTGGAGCAGTTTCATAAAAAATAGCTTTTCTACAGGCCAGTGGGGTAAAAGTTGTCCAGCAAAGTTTTTAATGCTAGGAACCTGCTAATGCTAGCTTGTAGGAACTTGCTAATGTTAAGTGTGGGAACTTGTTAATGTTAGTTTGTAAGAGTTTGTTAGGTGTTTGCTAATGTTAGCTTGTAAGTGTTTGCTAATGTTAGCTTGTAGGTGTTTGCTAATGTTAGCTTGTAGGTGTTTGCTAATGTTAGCTTGTAGGTGTTTGCTAATGTTAGCTTGTANGGTGTTTGCTAATGTTAGCTTGTAGGTGTTTGCTAATGTTAGCTTGTAGGTGTTTGCTAATGTTAGCTTGTAGGTGTTTGCTAATGTTAGCTTGTCGGGGTTTGCTAATGTTAGCTTGTCGGGGTTTGCTAATGTTAGTTTGTGGGGTTTGCTAATATTAGCTTGTAGGTGTTTGTTAATGTTAGCTTGTGGGGTTTTCTTTTTAAACATAAATTATCCTTAATACCAATGTGTATAAAACTATTTATGTAGATTTTTTATATAGAAGTTTTATTGTTTGTGTGTGGCCAGCAGATCCAACGACCAGTACCATTCGTTTAAGAATCAAAAAGAGAGAGACAAGTTTCCTTCTACCTATTTCTGGTTATACTGCATGTCATCTAATGATGCTCAGATTGACGGTAGCTCCATGGTCTGCTTCCCGCTCCGCTCCTCCCCTCGGCTCTGGTTCCCGTTCCTTGACCTCGGCTGGACCACAGATCCCCTCCTCTGGAGGAGGCTCCCGCTGTCTTGGTCAGCCGGTCATAAGAGCTCCCCAGGTGTTGTGGTTCGCTGCTGGGTGGCTGCCGTCTCCAAGAGGCCGGGCTGAGGCTCGGATTAGAACTGGGGTTGTGGTTATCTTTAGCCTGGACAAATAGAGATTAGATAAAGGAAACAACATTAACTGTCTGAACTAAATGGACTGTTCACATCTGAAGTGGGGTCTGTGAACAGGTTATGAACAATCAGTATTTTACCTGTTGTGGTGTTGGATGACTTCAGTTAGGAGAAATAAAGTTGAACCTTTTTTATATTGAAGTCATGGCTAGTCAGAATGAAACTATTTCTCCAAACTGAAGTTATTCAAAAAAAAAAAAAACCAAACAAACACCAAGTTGATTTTAGCCATTTTAAAGTTTTGTAATCATGCACAGTTCTTTTATTAGGACAAACCGGAGCCTTGTTAGGATTTTTTTGTTTAATGTGGGTGCTAACTACATGCTGTTTATGTTAACTCATGTGTGACAGAGAAAGTCTGTGGACGTCTGCCAGAAGAAAAATTCCCAACCAGAAACCCCAAACATACCCCAAGCTGAGAGATTTATAATTTGGTGGACTGACTGAATATAAAAAAAAAAGCACCCAAGTTACTAGTCTGTGGTAGCTGCATCGGCACGTTCCCCCTCACAACCCCAGTAACCCCGCTCAGAAAGAGCCCGACTTAGATGACGGAGCAAATCGGAAAGCACACAAAAACGGCACCCCACTCCTGTAATTTCAGCTTTWAAAAAAAAAAGGCACCATAATTAGTGCCATTTGGTGGGTTGAAGCTGGCTGCTGGGGCACTTTTGGAACGTTATTCTCACTAATTGGCTTTAATGGAGCCCTGCTGCACTGCCTCGCTCAGTCTCCTGGGGTAACGGGCAGGAAATAAGTCACCAGCCAACACAGCTAAGTGGGCGTGCGCTGTGTGGTCACTTCCTGTTCCAGTCACTGAGGGAGGAAACAGAAGGGCACGCTTTCTCCTTCTTTGGTAACTCACTGCTGCATGACTGTAAGCTTCAACAGAATTTCCTGGAAAAGTGTTGCTCCTGCAACTCCAAATAAAGGAGGCTTGTAATGCACAACATATTAGAATCTTTTAAAAAAGGCAATTTGCTTCATTAAATTCAAAGCTTCCAATGTGCCACATATTTGTGCCTTTAATAATAATTCAAAGGATGATCAACTGGTATTTAATGAGTGCTACTTTCACCACAAAACTGCTCCATTTAACATCTGAATCCTTCCAGTTTCAGTTTTCTTTAGAAACAGGTTACTAAGTCTWAAAAGATGGCAAGACATTCATGAATCAAGCTTAAATGTAAAAAATACAAGCAATTTTAAAGGAATTAAAAGCGGGTAAAGTGGGGTWAATTGTTTCAGACTTAATATGGTGTAAATCTCTTCATTTAGCACTGAAAGGCAAAATAAAGCTCAGAATGATACCCAGCAGGTCCGAGAGGCGAAACAAGTCGTGTGTTGGAGCTCCTGCTAAACTAATTAAATAACTGCTTTAAATCTCTTTGTTCTTGGTCTCTGGCCCGATTTGAAGGAATGATGATGCGCTGCCAACCAAAACTGGTAAATCTGCTCCTCCGCAGGACAATAATCTTTATACTCCYGGGCAAATGTGACAAAAGGAGTTGAAACTCTTTTTTTTCTTTTTCCAAATTTACTGTCTCCCATAAAGTGTTTCTACCAACGACTAAAAAACACAGTGTAGCTGCTCAGTGATGTTTCTTAGAGACTTTTTTTTCCCTGTTTGGGTCACACCAGGGGAATAGTAACTACAGCAGAGCTGATTTCACACTTTACTTTGCTGCTCACCACTACCTTTTTTTTTTAATTCAGCGGAGGATGTTTTGGTATCTTGATCAGCAGCCGTATCGGCCTCAGTGTCCTCTGCCAAACATAAGTTCAGAGCTGATTCACGWATGGGCTGAGGTTTCCAACCGCTACACTGGGGAGAAAGTACTACAGTGCTGTTCTGTCCATCAGACCAAGGTGTGGMGTGACAGCTATAAAATAAAAAAACTCAATTTTAGCATCGACTGGTTAAGCTTCATACCAATCAGAAACGGCACTGATGTGTGYCACTGACCATCTCCTAAAAAGCAACACTTGTGGGTCTTTGAAATTTTAAACAAATGATAATTAGTCAAAGAAGCCTCTATATGGGTCTGAAACAATAAAATCTTGATCGTTATCATAAATGAGAAAGGTAATCAATAAGATATCACCACCTCTAGACTACTTCAGGGTACTGGAAGGTATTCAGAGTGCCGTGTCTTCCTTGATGAGTATTGATTGACTGATAGTGACTTGGTGATCCTTGGTAAGCTGATTTAAGGTTCATTCTTCACTTTGACGTGACGGATGAGATTCTGATCTCCAGAAAAAACAGTCGTTAAGAACGATCTGTATCTTCGATGAGTTACTTCATGTTCAAAGAGAAGAGAAACAAAAACACTTGTGAACTCGAACTTTGAGAAATCAGGGTTTGGCCAAAAAATAAGAGATGCAAATAAACATGTATCCATTAACCCAATGTTCTGTTGACATTATATACACCAATCACCAACCAGTCATGACTTMTACCATCTATCCCCACTGCAGCTGTATTTGTCCAATCTTCCTGGAAATGGACGCAGTTCAGACCACTGAAATGTTCTAAAAACCCAAACCAAAGACGAAGGGCTCTGCTCCAAGATACTCTTCAAAGTCCATTTATGTTTTCATGGATTGTTTTAATGTTTTGTGGTCGRTTTTGCTCATAATTGCTATCCAAACCAAGTGACCAGTTCAGGCTTCAAGCATCAAGATCAACCCAAAGTTTTTATTGCGCCACAAAGTCAACCAAGTGGCTTGAGGGAATTCCAGCAATAAAAACAAAAAACATATGGGGTGACAACCAGACAGCAGTTTATCAGGTCAGGGCTAATACACCACATCAGTGAAGCTTAAGTTCAGAGCTTTGGGGGGTACTGAGGGTGAAAAAGAACATGAGGTGTGTTTGTGGACCTGAAAACACTAGACAATGGCAGGCCATGTGAAGTGGAGTGTGCCAACCCTGGTAGAAATCCTCAAAYACAAGGTTTTGTTCATGTTGAGGGAGGAGTCACTTTCAACAAAACAAATGCCTCCAACACTTTGGGGAGCATTAAAAGATTGTGGTTCGATGTTAGATAGGTCTTTATTAAAGGCTCCAGCATACTTTATCCGAAGCTGAATACTTGACTCTTGGTCACATAGTTGCTAGACATTTCTTTTTGCACACACTTTTTATAGCCCATGAGACACACGGCGCAGAGCCCCCAGGAAACCCCTCCCACTGCTGTACACATCCCACCACAAGGTTTCTTCCTGCTTGGATACGCTGTATAGCAACAAATCTTTCACGGATAGAGCACCACAACTTTCGGCAGAAGGATTGCTCCATGCGATCAGTCTTCATCCAATTTGGTCTTAATTCCACAAACCATTCTTTTACRCCTTTTCTGAGTTGTGTCTCTGATCAACTCGTTTTGACAAATTAATTAAAATAWGTTAACAAYGAAAGACTGGTCCATCCAGCCTTCACATGTTGGAGCCAGAGTCTGACCCAGASTGAGATGAGAATGAAGTCRATGTAATTGTAGTTGGTAAGTCCAGATCTTTTTGGCAGTTCTGTAACAAATAATTTGGATGACCTGGATGACTCTTAATTTTGTGTTTTTAAAGTTTGACAAGACAGAGGTTGCGGTTTTTGGACATCTTAAGAATAAACTCTGCAGCCTTTTACTTCCTCTGGATGGCATTACTCTGGCCTCCAGTTTTAATGTAAAGAACCTTGGTGATATTTTTTGATCAGGATGACTTTTAACCACAATATTGAAACTGTTCCCAGGACTGCCTTCTTCGACATTTGTCATATCACTAAAATTAGAAGCATCTTGTCCAAAAATCTTGCAGAAAAATTGATCCATGCATTTTACACATCTGGGCTGAACTACTCTTTATTATCTAGGCGTAATAATGGGGATAATAATAATAATAATAATAATAAAAACAGAGCTTTGGTATTGAAAAAGTATTAGATCAGATGTGAAACAACATGGATCAGTGTGTCCCTATTTAAAAAGGGAGGTTTTCCATTCCACTGTTGCCGAAGTGCTGCTCAGGATGGGAAACTGTGGTGAAATGATTCAACGCAATTTACTGAATTCCTTAGATTGTTTTTTGTACAGTGCCCTGAGACGATGTTTGTTGTGACTTGGCACTATATAAATAAAATGAATTGAATTTAATTAAACCGTCACATCCCTTCAGCTGTACGACATTCGGTACAAGAAAAAAATAAAAGCAAGCATGAAGGGTTATACAATAACCGTAACTCGCCCGGGTGAATTTGCACACAAGAATGACACGGTAATTTCCTCTCCTTGAGGTTCTGCTCATGTTCTTTTCTCGCAACTGGGCTTTTTCTTTTCCTGTTTCCTTCCTCCCTGGATTCTGTCCCACCCTTTCTCTCTGTGTGCTCACTGCAGCAGCAAGAGYGAAGCCTGAAGAAACGCTGTGCGAAGGTTGAAGTGAACTTTCTCAGGCAGGTGTTTGAACAGTGGCTCAGAACACAGATTTACCACATTTAAAACTTTTGGAATATTAAATTAGGCAGTGGTCGTTATGGGGATTGCACAGCGTAGTACATGAGATTAAAAAAAATCTATATTAAAAAGGAAATTTGTCATGGAGTGAAGGAAACCACGTATTAGTAAAGAAATGCCTGAAGTAGCAACAGTGCTAAAAACTATTCTAACAGTAGCATTTCTTGAAGGAATGCGTATCGCCCACCACYTTGCRAGTCCAGGTTTTAATCTAARATCTTGYGTGATCTGTTAGTGCTCCAAGTATATGTTGAGGATAACTCTCAGCTACTACCACACCAGACTTTAACTCAGTATTGGTAAAATTGATAAGTTATAGCTACTTTTGTGTTTGGCAAGTTCAAGAACTGCAGGACATCTTCAATCAGGTTGACTCCAAATGTTAMATCAACTGCAAACGCACCTCCAGTGATTAGTTTCTGAGAATTTCAGTCAAATGTGTCAACTGGTTCATGAGATATTTTGCTRACAGACAGACGAGGCTTTCATGGAAACAGGTCATTGTAAAATGAATCACTCTTGTGGAAGTGCACAGTTTCCTACCTGTGTTTGCACAGAGTGTGATCGGTTCCAGGACTGTGAGGTAACAGGTGCGTGGGGGACGATTCTTCCCAGACCTCCAGTTTCCATAGTGGAAGACTGAGAGCTCCTGCTTCGTCGAAACGTCGGTTCCTCTGTTTCCTTGGTGTTCGTGACTGAACTGTTTATTTTACGCATGTACACCTGGGACAGGGAGTGACAATAAGCAAGGTCAATGTTTTTACTCTTATTTTTGTGTAAATTTGCCWAATAAATGTTCTCTCTGAGCCGCTCACCTCTGCAGGAGATGCCTTGGTTCCTTTCTGYGACGACATGCTCCCACCAGCCCCACCTTCAGTGTTTACAGTCTCCTCGGTGTCAAAAGTAGTTGCCCGATATGCTCTCCATGTAGTACCAGCTTCAGCTTCATCTTCAGACAAACCGTCTGTCAGCGCCTTGGTACCAACTCGTTCCTGACCCGCGTCGTCCACCGACGTGGTGAGCCTGTTCCTCCACGTGCTCCTCATAGTCACATTCTTCATGTCTGGTAAACTGTCTTCCTGGGAGTGCGCGTTTTGTCTTTGGCTCCTCCAGCTGGTGACCGTGGTCATGCTGCTGCCGCTGCTCTCGAAGCCCGACTCTGTGTCGTTGAAGTCTGAGGAGGTGGAGTCCACAGACTGGAGGCTGAAGCTGCTGCGCTGGCAGCACACGTGACTGGTGGTGGTCTCCACCCGGGAAGAGTTGTGGGGTTTGGACCTCARCGAGGGATCGTAGTGGTCGTATGCACCGCAGTCCTGGTCTTGGCACGAACGCAAGGGGATCTCACTCTTGGGTATTGATATCTCATACGGGACAGAAACGCTGCCGTGGTGGTCACTGCTGGGGCCTGGCGATCAGCAAAATCATGAGACAAAGATCAATTAAGAATCATTTTACTGATAAATGTCATCCATAACAGTATTTACAAAACCTTTGTCTTTATTTTTTGCTTAATTCACGACATTTATAATTCCACTGTAAACTATAGACATAAATTTGGTAACAAAGTTATTTATGGACTTTATTAGGACAAAAAAACATACGTGAGAGTTTTGAAAAGCCAAAGGTATTTGCATAACAAACAAAACTCAGCTGAGCAAAAAAAGAAAACAAAGTTGATTTAACATTAGCTGATTTTTCATTTAGAGCAAATTTTGTAAATGTTTCTTATAAAAAAATTAGTTAAAGGTGACATGAAATCAATTAAAATCAACTTAATCAGATCATGAGCATGAGATGGCGTACATCATAATTTAGCGGCTCTAATTACTTGGTAGAAATTTGCTAAAAGGAACAACTGAAACAAATGCAGAGAAAACAAGCTGTTAGAAGAAGTAGAAAATACTTTCCCTGATAAATGGGGTAAACAAAAGATCCCAAAGTGCAATTTACTACTTGCAATTATTATTATTGTGCAAAACTATCTTATTTAAACATCCACTGTTAGTATTGTCAGAATACCAGTTTTCTGAAGGACAACATTTTGGCGGCTTACGACAATAAATCCATTTTATTAATGAAAATATATTTTATCATTTATGGTTTCCAATCAAAAAAATGCTGTCATTCTTTCCATAAATGATTGGATTTAACTTCATTTTTTAAAAGAAAAAATAAAACAAACTGTACAATCTTAATGAACTAATCAACCACAATACAATAAAAACAATAGTTATTTAAAATTGGAATTTTGTACTTAAAGATTGTTTGGTTTCTTTTGAGGGTTTGACTAAAACAGTGAAGCACCATTACTATTTCTCTAACTTTCTAATGAGAACAAATGAAAAAGCAAAAAGGGAATCAAATTATTTTGTATTGATCTGGTCCCAGTTCTCGTTCTGAGCAGTTTCCACCTACCTATAAGGATGTTACTCGTAGATGTGTGGCGTTCTCTGACCGGCGTCGGCTCGCTGGACAAGCTGCTGCTGCTCGTCCTGGAGGAGCTCGGGTCGTTGGGGTAGATCGTTATACTACTGGTCATTTTACTTGCGGTGGTGACCGCTGGCTTGGTGGAGATCTTGGGCTTGCCATTTGTAGACAAATATTCTGAAATCATCACTTCTTTCCTGTCGATCTCCACAATGGCGGGCTTAATAACAGCTTTCGACCTCAGAGACTCTCTTGGGCTGAACACCCTCTGGATCTCAAGTGCTGATGGGGTATGTTGTCCTACGTCTGATAACTGAGTCCTACTGTGCAGCTCCTCGTCAAATGAGCTCCTAGAAGACGACCCCTCTGAATGAGAGTACCTCGTATACCTGGAAGGTGCAGTCCTATCGCCTATAGTGGCACTCGTCTCAGTTACACGTTCCACTTCAGAAGGCCTGGAGCTGTTGGATTCTGTTTCCGAAGCAGAGGAATGACCGTCTGACCCCTGATCAGTGGGCGGGACTGGAGTGATGCGAGATCTGCAGGCTGTGTATGAGCCGTTGGTTTTGGACAGGGTGGATGCCACAAACGCAGATTCCTGAACCTGGTCTGCAGAGTCCTGATCTAGGGCGGAAACAGACACCTTCTCAAGTGCAGAGACGCTATTCWTGTTATTGGAGCTTTCAGGCACTGCATCAGAGTTGTTGGACTCGCTATCACTACCTACATATCGCTTCGAAAACCTCTCTCTGCTGCTTTTCATCTCCCCGTCAGCCTGTTTGTGCCCTGTGCTTTGAGACTTCTGATCGTTAGCTGCTGGAGGGTAGCGACTCAGAACAGACAACTTTTTAACATCAGTAGTAGTTGAGTTTACTGAGCTGTAYGGAGCTCCCCTCAGCTTTTCTTCAGTGACTCGTGCTGTGTCTTGTATTCCGTTATCAGATGAGATCATAGCAGTATGGGCTTTCGGTGTCCTTTTGCTCTTCATGGCAGGACTGAGAGCTCTCCTCACAGAACTCGGAGAACTAACCTTGGAGTAGCTCGGGTCTTTGCTCCTCAGTTTTGTCTCTCTCTTATGCTGAGGCGAGAGCTCCCTGTTACTGCGCTTGGGGGAACTCGGTTCTGAAGCCGTTGCCGCACTTCTGTATTTAGGTTTCTCTTGTCTGAAACCCACCTTCACAGCGACCTCCTCGTTCTCAGCTTTACCGTTCTCYAAGAACTTAGGACTGTTGGTGCTTCCATTGCCGTGTTCATCCAGAGTGCTGATTCCATTTCCTCCAAGCCCAGCTTTCCCGCAGATCTGCGTCTTTAGCTGCTCCAACTGCTCGCTCAGCTGATGAGCTCGGTTTTGTTCCCTCTGGAACTTCTCGTGAAGTTCGCCATTTTTGAACTCCGAGTTCTTCAGATCTTCCTCCACGATCTCCAGCTGTTTAAGGCGGTTCTTCAGCCTCTCTACTTCCTGCGTCAACTCCTTTACTTTGTTGTCTTCCTCCTGCGAGCCCTCAAGACCACTGTTTTTCTTCTTGTGAGATTTGTTGACAATGCTGATKTCGTCTGTCAGCTTTAAGGGATCAATGCTTTTCTTGTATCCAGTCAGTTTATTTGTGAAAAATCCAGACGATAACTCATCCTCGATTCTTGAACTCATGAAATCAGCACGACTAGGATCTGCCGACATACCAAGCAATTTCTTTTTTTCTTCCGTCAGCTTTAGAATGGTCTTCTCATCTTCCTTTTGCTTCTCCATTAGTCGCTTGCGCTCACAGACAAAGGCCTGAGTTAACCCCTTCAGTCTCTCCAGCTCCATAGCCAAAGCCTGCTCTGCTTTCTCCAGCTTTGTCTCAGAACCCTCCACTTCCTTCAAACGCACTTTGAGTGTTTCCAAATCAGAGGAGAGCTTCTTGGTCAGGTTCTTCTCCTCRTTGAGGCTAAGGCAGAGCTGGCTACAATCAGACTTACTTTTAGCAAAAGCTTCTTCCAGTTTCTCCAGTTCAGCCATCCTCCGCTGCAGGCGTTCAATCTCTGCCTTTAGCTCCTTGGTGAGGCTTTCCTCTTCTTCCAGTTTCTCTCTAACTGTGCGACAAAGGTCTTCGGCTTTGCGTACCTCTTCATCTTTCCCTTGGATCTTCAAGAGACGCTTCCTCAGGGACTCCACATCACCGAGAAGCGATGAGTTGCTGCCCTCTGCCTGGATGACCTTGTCCTATAAAAGGGGAGAGTTTATTAATGTTCTGTATTAAATACACAAAAACAAAAAGGCAGAAGTCAACCAACACTAACCTGCAGATCAAGCAGCTCATCCTCCGACTTCTGCAGCTTGTTGGTTGCTTCTTCCAGTTCATCCAGTCTTCTGCTGAGACTCTGTAGCTTGTGCCTTAAATGGCGGTGTGTCATGTCTTTATGTTCCGACATGGCTGCGACGTTCTATGTAACGGATCACTTGGGTTTGTTCTGCTATCCAGATTATTTGACAACAGAGCGTTTAGGGTTCCACATCTGTGTGACAGGGACTCTAAGCCTTAAAAGCTGTTTCCTTTTAGCAATTTGTTTTCTCGTATTCTTCCAGATGCCTCTTCAAGTCTTGAAAGTTTCCTCGGAGTGGTGTTTAGCAGACAAATCTGTCATCTGTAGGAGGGAAAGAGGAAACAACACTTAAGTCATTCCTGGTTTGTCTATGACAATAATTTGCATTCTCAAAAGTAGTCGTGTGAGCAAAGCAAACACTTCAAAAGGCAGTGGAAATTGGTTAACTGTATCCTTCGCCACATGAAACAATCACGAAAATAAGCAAGAGCAGATTCCCGCAGTGATTTATATGTTTCAGATGGAAACAAGTTGTTTAACAATAACTGATGTAGTGAGTAGCATCTCATTCCTTAAACAACYACGTTGGGGAGACACATTTGAAAAAAAATACTGTTTTTAAATGTGTTTAAATTATTGGTTTGTAGCAAGCAAACCATACAGTATGACAAAATAAAGAAACTACTATATAGACACTTAAGTTTGCAATGATGTCAACCAATTGAAAAGAAAATTGAAAAGGCAAGCAAACAAAAGAATCTTGCGTAGTTATGACTGGACACAAGTACTTTTTTGCTAGGRAGTATAAATATTGGATTTTGGAGTGATTTTAAAAGGTTCTGGATTTGTTCTTTGCTGGAGTGATTGGTGGATCAAGGTAAGAGGAGCAGGAGATGTGTAGTTTCTACTTTACAACACAGTGGGGACTGTGTTATGGACTGGGGGTGGATTCTCTTGGTACCATTATATATAGAAAAAACAAACCATCCAACTACCTGAATATACCAGAAAATCATCAATAGTTTTGCTCTTTCTTAAAAGGGGCTATATCATGTAAATAAACTTTGAGTTTTATATCATGTTATAATGTGATCCTCTCATCAAAAACATGACCAGAGTCTTGCTTTGACTCATTCATGCATGTTTGAGAAATCCTGTAGTGTCCTGAGGCAGCCGGGCAGGGGAGCAAAAACGACAAGTTGGACCTAGAACCACCTTTTGGGACCAGCTCCTCCTCTGGGCTGTGTCTCCAAGCTGAGCTTCCTCATCACAGAGCACATACACCCACCAGGCCCTGTGCTGAAATGGGCGGGACAGAAGTGGAAGGAAGTTTATAAAGAGACAGAGGCCAATTTGAAGGCATTCAGAAACAGATACGATGAGAAATCAAGTTTAATTTCTATTTTAACATATAAAACAGCATTTTAAAGGGATCCCTGATTAGTTGTAACATTTATTTTAACTGTAAAATAAGGACTGTAAAAATACTGTAGTCTGTTTAGTTTTGTACATTTTTAAAAATATATTTCAACACGGACAGAGCCATTTTTTTTACATGCAAAGCATTCTGGGTAAATGATGACGTTGATAGGTCCTCGGTGTGAGTGAACTATATCCACCCTGAAGATTAATCTTGGACAATATCTGAWGATCGACTCTTTTAAATGAAACCAGAGAGCGTTGACAGAGAGGAGAAGGTAGAAATGACTCAACGTGTAACTGAAAATATAGATGGAGGACAACAGAGCTGCTTCATGGAAGAAGAACCTCAGCTTAGCCCGTTAGCCTTTGTGCTAGCACTGATGCTATATTGCCTTATATGTATTAGCTCGGTGCTAGTGCGACAAACAAGCTAAACTGAGGTCCTCCATCCATATTTTCAGTTACAGGCTGAGTCATTTCTACCTTCTCCTCTGTGTCAACGCTCTCTGGTTTCATTTAAAAGAGTCGATCGTCAGATATTGTCCCAGATTAAACTTCAGGGTGGATATAGCTCGCTAGCAGCCTCGCACCAATGACCTAACCACGTCATCATTTACCCAGAATGCTTTGTGTGTAAATAAAATGGCTCCGTCCGTGTAATATATTTTTAAACTTTTAGTTTAAAAATTATAAAAACTAAACATCCTACAGTATTTTTACAGTCTTTATTTTACAGTGAAAATATATGTTTATTAAGTAAAGTCTAATGTTACAACTAATCGGGGATCCCTTTAATAACAACTGAAGGTGACATAGTTACTTTTTATGGTATATATTTTAATTAAATGCCTGCGAAACATAATATTGCCCCTTTAATGACAAGTCCAGCCGTTAATACCAAGTTTCATCGAACTCAATAAGCAAGTGGCTCATTTTGTTCATGTAAAGATACAATCAAGCTTGTGTGAATCTCTGTAGATATTTGTCATTCAGCCACCATCCTGCGCTGTATTTCACCTTGCCTGCCCTTCGATATTGGGGGGGGGGGGGGGGGGGGCAGCAGCCCCTTTACGGGCTTGTGTGTGGATGGGGGTTTCAGTATAGCTGTACAGGCTTGCAAAAAAAAAGAAAGAAAGAAAAAAGAAAGACCCGCATGCTTTGTCGTCTCCCTGCTCTTGTATCTCACATCGATCCCTGCTTGCTTGCCTGCTTCTGCTGACAGCAGCACATCTCACTCACACTCACCCTCCTCCACTGCCTGCAACACCAGCCCGTCACAACAACACTGCAGTCATTATAGTCCCCTGGGACAGTGGCAATGATGAACAGAAATCCCTGACAGAGATGTTTAGATCCCCACTATCATGAGGGATGATCGAACAAATAAGAAATCATACATTTGCTACTGATATGGGGCATTTCAGTCTTTGTGTTTTTTCTTCATTTGTCTGTATAATTATGTATGGGGAGGGTTACTTTTATTATAGTGTGTCAGTTCCTACCTATAAGCCCAGCATGATCATTAGCACACTCCTGCCTGTCAGTAAGGTCACCATACATCCAATACTTGTCTCATACATGATTCAGATGGTGGGCTTTCCAGCCACCACCTTCACTTCCATTTTCTATCATCCCCTTCCCCCAACATTCATCTGTAAGGGTTATACGGGTGCAAAAAAAAAAAAAAGAAAAAAAAAACATATTGACCTAAGGGTAGGACACATCTGGACTTATCGACTCCCCCACCAACAGCAGGCTCCATACAGCACAGAGTCTCCTCTTAGACCTGGTTTACAGGCTTGTGTTCAAAGATCCCACTTAACCAGAACATCAAAAAGGACATGGCAATTTTCTTTTACATTTTGAAGACATGAACCAGTGCAGTAAATCTACATGTACAYGTGTGCAGATTGTAGACAAAACCGTACGAACACGTCGTTACGGTTAACTCAAAGATAGAATAATATAGTGCCATTTTGTGTACAAAGACCAAAGTTGTCTTCCCACAATTTATTAAGTGTCTTATTGAAAATAAACAAAAGCAATACACTTTGAAAGTCAACGCATCAAAGATGACTTTATGACAAAATAAAYTGAGGAATCAAAGGATTCAGATGTAGTGTTTAATCATGTTTTTCTTTTCATGAGGTCTGGTGGTTTAGTAATCTCAATGAGTTCAAGCCATCAAAGAATTAAAGTACATGGACTGGAGGGGGAAAGGGGGGGGGGGGGACCCAAACAAACAGAAAAAGCAATAAGTCACACAACCCGCTCAGACGCCAAGAACACTTTTGTCGCTAAGTCACCTTTTGAAGCATCAGCATTACTCATTTGTGACATTTAAAGTGAGTTGTAGTAGTTCTCTGTTGTCCAAAGCTGTTCCAACTGATTTCCTTCCAGATAACCATTTCAGAAAAATGATGAAGCATCCATCAAATTATGTGCCAGAATAGTTGAGTTTAGTTCTTAGAMAGAACCCAAGGCTGCAGGATGACCTGCAATTATAGAAACTTCCTGTTCTCTCTGCACTTAATAGTGGCTTTAGCCCATCGGTCATTATCCTAACTCTGATTTTGAGCACGACAACACACCCCAGTTGAGTTTTGTGTCGGTTAATAAAGGTGTTTTGCTAGGTCCAGTTACTCCTGTCATGGCGCTCTTCCCTTCATTCTTCCTTTTTATTTGTTTGCGAGTTTTCTGCCACCCTCCCTCATCTTTTCTCTTCCATCTCGCTCTCTCTCTCAGACACGCACAGCAGTTCAGCCAAGTGTGCGCTTTTGAGGGGTGGCAGTGCATGTAAAGTGACTCTGGCAAGGACCGGCCATTGCTGAACCAATCAACATACCTGATTCACTTACACCAGGCCCAGAGCCTCATTAGCTACAATCTGGGACAGGCAGGAGAGAGATAGGAGGACAGAGAGAGGGAGATGAAATGAAGTATGGGGAACAGGTGAAAAAAAATCAAGTCCCTGGTATTTGGTTTATGATGGCCAGTCTTATTGGTCCAAAATTCAAATAAGTACTTATAAATATCAACATTTTTGGAAAACTGTATCAGGAAATTGTCCTCTTTTATAATTTCTCACAGAAATGAGACGTAGCTGGTTGTCTAAAAGGAATGTTTGACAAGCAGAAGGGMAAGCAGATGGGAAAAGTAGAGCTGAGGTATTCTAAACTCAGCTCAATTACAGTTTTATTACAGTTTTATTCCCGTTCTGCACTTCGACAGTAATGAAAATCCTAGGGGGAGGTGAAGAAATTTCTAATGCAGTTCTGCATTTAGTTTCTGCATTTACAATTCCATCATTCTGCTGAAACTATACCTTCCATGTTACAAAAATTAAAAAAACAAAAACAAAAAATACAGGTGAATTTTGCTCAAGGGATTTTTGCTCATTTGTTTCTGAGCACTTTGATGTAATTGTCTTTTGTAGCTGCTGCACTATGTTGTAAACCATAGGGATTAAAAACAGATGCCTGCTGCCACGTCCAGTTCAAAGCAGGGCTGCTTGATAAAGGCATTGTTCCAAATCACCATCTTATTGAGTTTGCTGTTTACAATGATTAATACAAACAAATTCAGACGTGCACAGCAGCCCTGGAAATTTACATTTTTATTTTTGCAAGAACTGTAGAATGACTGCATCAAACAAGGCAGTTAACTCAGGGCTACCTTAGCCAATTTTAAGTCTGTAATATCTTTAAATTTATGAACAGAGCAGGCAATTCTCCAATAAATGGACTCAAGACTGGTTTGTATGTTGATTTCTATGAAATTATGAGTAAACAAGTTCGTGTTCTAAAATTGATAGTGTTATTCTTCCCTACCACCAAGGAGACTAACACAGCTTGGTCTTCGTTGTCTCGAGTTTGTTTGCTAAAACCTTTCCATTGGAA